TTCGAGTGACGGGCGACATGGAAACGAGATCAACAACCGTATCTCTAAAGCTTCTACAGTTTTGCGGGAACTTTGGCGAACCATGGTTGACAGATCGGAAGTTTCTTGGGAAGCGAAACTCTCGGTTTTTAAGAGTGTTTATCTCCCCACCCTCACCTATGATCATGGACTTTGGGTATATAACCGAATGCACCAGATCGCAGATATAAACTGCCGAAATTAGGTTTTTGCGTAGAGTAGATAGCGTAACGCGCCATGATGGGATGCGGAACTCTGTAATCCACATGAGCCTCCACTTCGAGCAGCTGCTTCTCAGGATCGGGAGGTCTCAGGCCAAGTGGTTTGGACACGTCTACCGCATGCCTCCTGAGAGGATACCCAGAGTAGCCTTCCATACCAAGATGACCAGCAAAAGACCTGTCGGTAGACTTCATACAAGGTGGTGATTACGTTGCTCGGCTTCGTCTTGAGAGGCTCGGCATCCCTCCAGTTGAGCTTGAGTCTGTGGCCCGGGATCGAGATCATTGGTCGAGATCATCGCTTGGGCATGCTCGAACCGCGACGCCATTGAGTTTGGAAAGCGTCTTCGAATATGTAGGTATGTATGTATGTTTTCACTTTTTGTTCCTAAGACGGACGATCAGCAGGTCACAGGTTAGTGTCACAACTTAGGCTGTGACACCACTTGGACTCTGTACGTTGTAATTCTCCGAAAATTTTTAAATGAATTTAAAAAAAATGAAATTGTACAGATCATTAAAATGCCCGGAACTCCATGACGTATTTCCCTCTGCCCCTGTGCATCAATACCTTGCATTGACTGTAAGTCCTGGCAAATGGTGTGCATGCACATAACCGGACGAAGTAAGTTTTGATCGATCTGAGGACGTGGCCGATGCGGATGCGTATATACCTCGTATGGTCCTGGTTAGGGAACCGAGGTAGGAGGACCTTCACGATAACTTCTAAATGCTTCCTCAAAAGTGAATGATCTCTTCAGTGCTGCGGGACGACGTTCTCAGGGACTTCTAGTAAGCTTTCAGTATTCTCTCTGAACAATGTTTTTAGGTCACATGGGTTCTAACAGGAAGAGACTGGTTTTAAGAATCACCAATCTATGGATCCGATAGTGATCCTCGTGTTTGTGTATAAATTATGTGTTGGTGTATCTCAAACACATGGTGCGATCTTTGTTAGGTTTTGTGCTAGTTGTCTCCCTGAGTCTTTCCTTGTCCTCTGCCTACTGTCCCCGTCTTGTATCCCACTTCCTTATCTCTTAGAGCGATATTTTTCTTAAGAAGTCGGCCTGATCTCTGAAAGTTTTGTTCTTAATGCATTTAAGTTAGCTCATGGGAATCTGAGATCATGTTTTGCACGTGAGTGCGTGTTATTTAGTCCTTTCACTTAAGGCAGTGGTCGGCAACCTGCGGCCCGCGAAGAGTGAACCTTCCATTCGGTTACACTATTCAGCTACAAAACCTCAAAAATCAGTAATTAAATCTTGGGAAGTGACTCTCATTTCATTAGACTGCCGTCGGTCCTCATGGCAATTACTTGAATACCTTTGATCGTGCAATCCCTCAATAATAAATATCATAGGATTCCTATAGGATTAATAAATGAATGGTATTGAATCCCATATGATCTAGGAATCCTGCAGGATTTCTACAAGATTCCCCAATGAATACTATGATATTTATATGCTTCACAAGTCTGATAGGATTCTATAGAAATTGTCGGTAAGGAATTCAAGTGGCCGTTTTGCGAAATCCATTCCATCCAAAGTAGTGACCACTTAGCTCATCCCATCGATACAGCGCAACTATTATTTCTGTTGAACCATTTTTTTCCATTGATAGATTGTAGTCCACCAGTCATTGATGCTGGTAGAGCTTCGAAGTTGCATGTTCCATTGCCGAAGTCACAAACGTTAAATTCAACATTTCCCAGCACCTACATCGAGTGTCACCTTCAGAATCCGTGAGATCTGAAAAATAACCTTCACCCTCGACCGGTGTCATTTGCTCCCGTATGCGAACATTTTTTAACAGTCCCTCTCGACTAAAATGAGGTATTCAGCAAGCAGAGTTGTCTGAAAAATATTTGGTGGTGAATCGATTATTTAAAATGAAACGCTCCCCTCCTGTTACTTGCTTGGACATATGCAGGCGAGGGAGTGGACTCGAGTAATAACTCATTCTCTTCTCTCTGAAATGTAACTTTAATTAAAATTGGACATTGGAAGGAAACAAAAAGAGTGCTATTGTTCGCACACACCCGACGGGCGTTCTGGCAGAAACGTCAATCATTCCTTCGGGATTCTTGGTCGCGAAAGTCATATACACATCGAACGTCTCATGATAAAATGGACTACATGTCCATGTATTTGCGACCTTATATTATTTCGTCCTAATCATCGATTTACTCATAGGTGAATCGAGCCGAGGCGGAAAACTTGGGAGGAAACGATCAGCTTCGCCCATGTTACATAGGTGAGTCGTCCCGAGGTACTTCAAAACCGTTTGTATGCATTCCTGAAACATTTCGATTCCCTACTTCGTTCTCACCCGTATTTTTCATAAACCAGTTTTCCGTTTAACCAAAACTACGAGTAGATTCTGCTAATCGGATCATTCTCTTCAATCTGATGCATGAATTGAACCCCATTTGCAAACCGGAGTTAGGTTAGCTGAAGGATTACTGAACGAAGGTTCAACATATGACACTTGCGACAAAAAGCCTTTGACAGAAAATCGCACTAAAATCTGTGCTTGTCCGCGTTCTAGCATCCGAATCGTCGAAAGGAAACGAGACCTGGATCGAAAAGCCATACATTAGAGGCGTCTAGCAGAATCTCAAAATTAGAGCATAATACGGATGGAAGAAGATGCTGCTCGCACTCGGTACCATGGCGGACGAGTAATGTCGCGAATTGGGTCCCTACTGAAACTAGCCTTAGCCCGGGCATTAACAATATACAATACTAGCGAGTTTTTTTGCCCTTCGAGCAAAAAGACTGCTATTATCGCGCCTTCGGCGCTCCATTCCCTGGATATTGATACATTCAATTATTTATTTTAAAAGTGGCAAAAACATATTAAAAGTATGTGCCCATCGGAATGTGTATTGAGAGAGAAGTAACCGTTATTTTCATCGACGTAGTTATTCCCATTGTTTCTTGTGTGCGTAACTTCAAATCTCTAAATAACCTGCCCTGAGGGGTCATATTTGAAATGTAGGACATGTACTCAGGAATCGATCAGGTACTTCTGCTACGTACAAGTTTCAACTTCATTTAGGTCGCTCCTTCATTGAATCAGAAAAGTTTCCGGAAAGTGCACTTTTTTTAAATATATGCCCTCAAAGGTTTTACCTACAAATTAACATTTTTTTACTGAAATCAGTACTCGGAAAACTACATGCATAACAAGTTTCCACCATATCCATATAGTCTTTTTGCTGATGCAAAAATATCTTTGGATTCAGAACATGACAATCAATATAAGACCACTCTCCTTTACGCGATTTCTCCTTCATGGTTAGGTGATTCAGTAAACTGCGTAATATACACATCCAAAATAGTTTTGCACCACCCACAGATCCCCGCAGGGTACGCAACATCTTCTTGCCGCGATATTGTTTGTTATAACATTGTATTTCATTCAAATTATATCAACAATTTCATCAAACGTAACAAACACTTATGGCAACTATATTTCTATAATGATTTTTCAAAATGTCTATCGTCGTCTGAGACACATGCTTTTAAACGCTTTGGGACGTCGTCCACGATGTCTGTCGCTATTCGAACTTAATGTCTTCTCAAGTCTTAAGAAAACCCATCTTCAGCGAATCCACACTGTTGTGCGGTGTCGAGCAGGCCTTCTCGAATATGGACCACACGGCGTAATACATAGGTTTGAGATATGGTGAGTTTGAGCACCAGACGTCCTTCCCCCAAAGTATCAGCAAATATTTTTGTTGTGCTCCATTGTCGTCTTCGCTTCGTGCTCGGGCGCAAAGGTCTTGTTGCAGCGTCCATTCATTTTCGCTGAATGGTCACGTGCCCAGGGGTCCAGAACTGCTCTCACGATGCGGTCTTGATACACGGCTGCGTTGATATGCACCCCTTTTTTAGGAAAAACTAATGGAGTCTTGCCCGTGGCACACATCCCAGCCCATACCATCACATACTGTGGGAAACGCTACCTGCTCACCGTTACGGTTCCTAAGAGTAGTTCTGGACCCCTAGGCACCTGACCATTTCGGCAGGGTGGATTCGCTGAAGAAGGGTTTTCTTAAGACTTGGGACGACATTAAGGTCGAACACCTGATGGCCATCATGGACAGTGTTCCGATACGTTTAAAAGTCTGCATCTCAGCCTACGGTGGACATTTTGAAATATCATCTCAAGCTTAGAGGCCTAATCGGGTTGCGGGCTGACTATGTCAGCACCAAACGATAGGCGGCTCGGAGCAGGAAAGCTCGGTCGGCGATCGCGTTCCAGGGAGGGTGCGGGCCACGATTCGAATCGGGCCGATCAAGTTTCAGCTCAGAAAGTCGACCCGTTCAGGCCTCCGAAGCGCAGACAGGAGGACCAATAGCAACAACGTCCCCAACGAAATTTAGGACTTTTGACCCAATACGTGTCGCCTCCAGGTCGTAAGCTTACGTTGACACTTAATTCATGAAAATATGTTCTTCCGTCTTGGAGGAGTTTCCTGGAATTACTGACAGTTTCGCCTCGAATGCATATAGATGCTCGTAATAGAATCAGAATTCCAGATTCCATGATTGCCAATGAAAATTTATTTATTTACAACCGTAGGCGAAGTGGAAATAATTAACCTCCATTTTCCCATTGTTTTTGAAGGAAAGTACCCTCGGGAAAAAATCCAATCGAATCCTATAAAAATCCGATGACATTTTTATGTTTCAAAGTCATAATGGGATCCTATATGATCCTCTCATGAGGATAACATCAATCATAATCGATGAAATGCTGTTTTCCTCGTAATTTCTTTTGAATTAATCAAGTTTGAATGTTGATTCAGGGAGTCGGGACATTATTTGCTTCTGACCGTCTTTTCCTGCCTGCTTCGGAATAGATCGGTCGAAGTTCCCACATATTTCGCTGTGTTTGAAGGGCAACGATATGGAAATATCTCAGAAGAAATGAATGGGATGGACTTTTCGGACTGCAGTATCTCATGCATGAAGCACAACGAATCTCATCCCTGTCATGCATTCAACTTCAAGGAAACAGATGGATCATGCCAGCTCATACGCAAAAACCAGAGCCATCTCGTCAAATCTGAAGGGTACCAGGCATATGTTCAATGTGAGTGTCTTGAAGCGAGAAGTTGATGGTGAGCAGTAGGCTGATAATACTTGCGAGTTCTCATTTTGAGTCTCATTGCTGAGGGGAAAGAAACTCACAATTGTCGCATCTTCAGGACTCGATACTCTAAGGTAGTGATTTTCTATTCGAAACATCCATTTCCGGCCAACCCACCTCTCAACATTATTCCTTGCACATTTCCTTGGGTAATATGCATTTTTGTGGGGTCACTTTACTTCTGGTGGTGTAACCTTATCGCCAAACAGATGACAACATCAAAGAATCTGAGACTTTTCGTTTCCCTTAAAAAAATGTATCATCTGCATTTTTTATTCATCTTCTTTCTTTTAACGCTAAAATAAGATGTAGTTTTCCTTCAGAAAAATTGGTAAATCTTACACCCAATGTCCACACCCAATTTAAAAAAACCAGCGTGCCATACTTAAATTGGAAATGTTGCTTTCAGAGAAAATCCAACAAATTCCCTCTACTAAAGTTCACATTTGTCAATCTGTCAAAACCACGAGAGTAACTTCCACCGCGTCCTCACGCTGCGAACGGTCAAGCACATAATTCAATCCGAAATTTTAGCCTCAAATGCGCTGTAATCACCGGGTCGAAAAATGACTTATTAATTTTTCCTGCTCTTACCTCTTCTGCAGTCCTATGCCTTACGGACTACCCAAAGATCCAGAATGCAGAGGAATCTTTCCATGGTTGGAATGGTGCATATCCTGCCCCACGAGGTGGTCAGGTGGTATTCAAATGCAAACACCCAGGAGGATTCACTGACAGCCACAAGGTACACGTGGCCACATGCGCCTCTATGCGACCTGATGTATGGTGCACCACATTCATAAACAAACGGACTACCATGCTCTGTCCACCTCCACGTGAGCAGCTCAGAGATTTAATTTATGCGAAACATTCCATCATCATGCATAAGATACTGTCCAGAATTGTCTGAAGGCAACAATATGATGAACAAAGTTTGTAATTATGACAAAAAGTCAGACCTGTGTTTCCAGAGAAATGTTTAAAAGTTGGCACGTCGCAGCGCGAGAGTCTCCGACCCATATTTGACACGACATATAGAAACTAATGATCAATCGTAGTCTCAATGATGAAAAGCGATATACTGTACTATACACTATCTTCTTTGAATTTGGAGTGAGGGACAACGTTGAAAAAAACGCGGCCACATCATACATCCCATCAATCCGATTCTCTGATAGCGATAATGATTACATTGTATTCATATGTCTTCAGCATTAGTTTTTCATAAAATCTATGCGCTCTCTCGGGTTGCTCCAATGGAGCAATCGGTGAAAAGAGGAAGGGGTCGAAGAAGGGACAGAAGCATCTGCATCTTTCGATTACCTCGAGCGCCGTCATCGCATTGCCAGGATTTCCGTGGATTACTGCATCTGCATATATATTGGCTGCAAATTATTGGAAACAATGCACAGGAGCAGACAAGCCTGAGTGGAGTGCCGTGAACAATATGTAATAAATATTACGTTTAAAACCTTAAAACGGGCCCTGTCATCGAAAGGCCTGAATGCCATATATTCTATGAAATCTGATAATACGATATTTTCCAGCTTGGAGTTTTACTTCCAATTTCGGCAGTTATAACTCAGCAAAAACGGTTTGGAAACATATGCAAGCAATTTAATCACTTCCTAGTATTTAATATTGTACTGAAATGTGTAATGATTTCGAAGATTGACATTAAAAAATACTAATCGTCGCGTTGATATTAATATTAACGCAATATATTATTAAACCGTGATCCCATGCGTCTCATCAAATATTGTTAAATTATCGTTTTATAAGTAAAGAGTCCAGTGTTTGTTGCCTATTTTCGTATTAGCAGCTGTTTATCCTGACTGCCGCCTATCGAAGATTGGGAAGGAGTATATCGGCACCACGAACGTAACAGAAACGGGGAGATCATGCCTTAGGTGGGATTCCGAGGAAGTGGCTTCTTCTCATGATTCTGTGGAGGCAGGATTTAATACACTCTTGTCCTTCGAGGAGCACTTCCTAAACCAGGAACCGTCATGGCACAAGAACTTCTGCCGGAACCCGACAAAGATGGCTAGGCCCTGGTGCTTTGTTGAAGATGATGGTGTGAAGATGGAGTTTTGCCATATTCCCCTTTGTGATGATATGAGTAAGAAATTTTTTCAGTTTCGTATGGAAGGATCTGGTATGTAGGTACCGGCCTAATATATGAGAATATAAGCATGTAGGGTGATTATATGATAACGAACCAAAATTCGCGAATTAGCACCCGGACATCTCAGATTTCAATGACAATTTTCATGATTGGCTATTATTCCGAAAACATTTCAGTTCCATCGGAACTATAGATCAGATGGCGTAGGGTGGCCAACATGTAGATTAATGTTTTACCCTTCGACTTTGATATCCCTGTAACTTAAAAACTATTCGTACTAGAACCTTGACTAAGGCGTTGATTCTCTGGAAATTGCCCGAAATATAAAAAAATGCATAAATATATCGCTTGAATGAAAAACACACAATGTTATTTAAGATTCAAGATTGTTAGGGATATCAAGAGGCGATTTCGCCCATTTCGATATCACGTGTCGAGGTAGAGCGTTCCTTAATTTTAGGGTAGGCCTAACCCTTCTTAAAGCTATAAATTTTTGTGTTTTTGTTTTGCTTTACTTTTGTTGTTATTTGACTATCCTAGTTGGTTACTGTCTAGTACCTAACATCAACATTGCCCACCACCTATTTGCCTGTCCATAAAAGCATCTAGTCTCTTCTTAAAGATAGTCACAGAAGGGGCAGTCACTACTTCGTCATTAACGCATTCCACGCTTTCACCACTCTGCAAGTAAAGATTTCCTGTCTCGACCTAAGTCACACCAGCACCGTGGAATAGTGGACGACGTTGCCCTGGAATGCATCGCAGATGTCCACGGTGGCTCTCGCAGAGTGTCCTTGGAGGAACTCGTAGTAGACGATGGGGAGGTGAGTTGCTTGTTCGATCGGAGCCATGGCTGGCAACTAATGGCAGAAGCCGCCTCATATACCCAGAGGGCAGAAGCTTCCAGAACATTCCAGCACATACAAATGCAAAGCCCCGCCGATCATTCCTTTGAAAAATTGTATAAGTAGTTTTAGAAAGTGTTGCAAGACTTTCTTTCCAACCGAATATTTCTGCCTAAGTCTCTCAAGAACTTCTTACAAAGCTCCTTCAGATATGCTAGGCTTCTATCCGCCCTTTTGTAGGGCAACATGCTAAAAATTTTTCGAAAGTCCTTCCACTCCATTAGAGTAGAATAGTCCCCTAAATATTGATTTAAAAAACTTACCTAAATGAGCATTGAATCAGAACTGCACATTTTATTTCAGCAAGCAATAAGAGATATTAGGATTTTCTAAATCGGTAACCAGAACTCGACTGGCAGATGCAATTAACCTTCATTTTTCAATTTATCTTTTCCTCCCCTGCCACATGTGCCAAAGTGGATGCTGCTAATGGGTGATATTTCGCTATTGTCTCCTGCAAACAAGATCAATTTATTGCAGGTAATTTTAAATATTTTACTTTCTGAAGCTACGTCAAACAATTCAATACGGTCCATTAAAAAGATGTGAATTAAAAATTCAAGTTTCTATGCACGCAAGCCATGTTCAGTCCTCGGGAGTGGTACATTCTCTGGAACTAATGTTTTGGGGCTTGCGTTTACACTTCCAGACGTACCGGAATGCAAGATGAGCCAAAAGGGAGGGGAATACGTGGGTGTGAAGTACAGAACTATTTCAGGCTTCGCTTGCGTACCCTGGCTAGATCTGGATGGAAATAAAGTGGACATTATGATTGGGGTCCGTGAAGGGTCGTTCCCAGATGAAATCACGGAAAGCCACAATTTCTGTCGCAACGCGAACGGAAATCCAGGTGGTCCTTGGTGCAACATCAAAGATTCCCAAAAGCCGAACTTGAAGTGGGAATACTGTGATGTCCCTTTCTGCGATTTTGACGATTGGGGAGGAGAAAGGGAATCTGGAGACCAATATGAGTCAAGTGAGTTAGTAAAATCAATGCTGACTCGTCGCCAGTGCGGTCATATTAACCATATACCCTGCATATGTTTGTTTTTCCATGGATCAACAAATAAGAACGGTCTTAACCAGTTTCTAGCTGCAAAATTTGATCTGTTTGTCACGATGGAACAGATTTGCATCCGATGCTGAGGGACAGAGAGCAACATCTGGCAGTATGCAAGAATAACCAAAAATTAGTTCGACTTGTGTAAACAACTGATAGCATTAAAGACAGCAGCTCGAACGATATCATTATAATTCAACGGCTGTTCTATGCCGCGATGCACTCAAGAAGATTCGAAGAATCCTCATTCTGCAGCAACAGCTCTATTTCGATAAGAGAAAAGGCCGTAGCGTCATCACGAAACACTCCTGGCCAAAATAGAGTCCTATGGCATGCGTCAATTGAACGCATTCCATAGCTACAGAGGATCGACGGAATTGCATTGAATGAGTATTGGCAGGGAATAAGCGCAATGCGCCGGCATCGTGCATGACGCACTCTCTTACATGAAACGAATCCATTTCCCATCGTCGTCGATGATGCGAAATTCACAAGATGCATCTCGAAATTCAGATAAGCGTACGCCGTTTGCAGTACGGAGAAGTTCCTATGAAGTTGCATCAGCAACGCACATAAACAATGAACGCAAATTATCCCTCACGACATTTCGTGGAGACACAACAATGATTTTGTCACCGTCTCTCTGTTGTGGCTTCCAGTTCCCAGTACCGCTCGATATAAACTGTCTTGGAATTTATTGAATATCAGTAATGGATAGTGCTTCTTTCGGGGTGTTCACAGTTCAACTGGATCCAACCGGTTACGGTTATTTGAACCGCTTCACCCACATCGTTAACGTCGAGTTGAACATAGGATTGTTGCTGAATTTGATTTGGCCAAGGAACGAAGCGATCAGGTTGTAGGCTGGCCGTAACCCCGGTAATAGAATTCGCCAGATATTTTGAAGCAGTATGGACCGATACGGCGTAATGTCGACAATCGTTGCACCGAAGGAACCAAACAAATTTGTGCTGCTGTAATGACGGATAAACTTGCAAAAATTACGAGCGTTTGCATTTTCCCCCATCATCAGCCTTTTAAACTCTGACGGATAATTCAATGGATTCAGATGAAACACCTTACCATCATGACAACTTTGCGAAGTTTTCCTTTCTCCGCTTTGATATCAACATCCCGGCAGTGATCAATAGAGTATTCCACATACATATTGCGTGATTGTGCGTAACGGCTTGAATGACCTCGGGCGTTCCGCCCACCGCAGCTCGAATGTGAGCTGATAGGTCGACCCGTACACGCACAGCTCTCCGTGCAGCGTTAGCAGCCTTAAGATGCTATACAGTTAACGCATCCATATGCTACCTCCATTAAGCTCGCCTTTGGACATTAACATACTCACGTTGCTATGCAGGCATACGCTGCCTCGCCGCTTTCGTTTTGCGGGAGCTTTATCGTATTTGTAGTATATGAACAAACCCGAAACGCCTTAGAACCTTCCTCCTGGCCTATGAACTGGAAAGCCAATGAATTGTAGGCCTATTGTCGGAATTAGTCAGAAACGATTCATCGCATGCTAACATAGGTAATAACTTGATAACCCGCGTGCTCCGTTTGGTGGGTAACAAAATGTCAACAAAAATGTTGGTTATTATTAAATTAGCGATATGAGAAAATGCAATCCGTAAAAGAATAACGTTCGAATTTCAGTGTCATACTTTGGGTCAATAATAGGAGATGCGTTAAGTCATCAGGGAACCCTCAGCTGGGTGCATGCAATTTCTTAGCGAGTTCCGCCTCGTAGCATTCACTGAGATATATTGACACGGCTTAGTCAAGAGAAGCGCGCTGTTCTTCCGGTGACCGTTAGGTGGCGCCTTCAGGGACGCAGCAGGTGTAAGGTCAACGCGATGACCTCCAATTTAATTCTCATTTGATCTGTAAGAAGTCCCTCTATTCTCTAATCTGGGCAGCGGTTGTCCCCAGTGTATGGGCAAGTATTTGGAGATCCGGGAAACTCCGCGCGAGAAGGGCGAACTCGTCAATGATTGATTGTATGGATGTGCGCGGCGGGAAGGGGGCCCTTTATCGGGGCCGCCCTTCGTGAGGTGAGAACAAGGTGAGTTAGCTCCTCGACTGTCTCTCCAAGAATAGGCTTCCTTGACCTACCCCAAGAGTAGTCTCCTTTGACTCACCCCGAGAACGGTCTCACTTGACCTCTCAAGAGCTAGTCTCACGGTCCCATTTCTACCTACCTCTTCTCCTGACTCCCCGTGTACGCGATTAATAAATTCCTATTGTTATTGTCACCTGGCATATGGCATGAGATTTCTCAGACACGCGTACTCCATCACAATATCGTTGAAATTTTGAACGCATTGGATAAGGAATGATTTTGAGCCATACACGGGATGAGTATCAACTTTACCGAACCGACCCGAAACGCGAATCGGGCGGACATTTAGGACCGCAATCAAGTTTCTCGTTTGGTGCAGGCAAATACTCTCTCAGAAGGTATTTTCCTCCACCTGCTTACAGCTGTCGGCGGAACGTCGTGACCTATGAGAGCACTAAGCAGGCCAGCACGAATGTGGAGTAGCCGGAAGCGGCAACAATGCCGTCTAGAAAAAGAACAAACACAAAGACCCCTATTTCCGAAGCTTAGAAGCCTAAGGAGACTGCAGGTTGGCCCAATCGCCCCGACACGACCCGCGGGTGGGTTCGGGTAAGACCACGATTCGAATCTGGCCAATCGAGTCAAATTCGAAAAAGGCGACCCCAGAAGGCCACCGGTGGACCGGTAGGCAGACTGACGAAGGACGTTGGCTATAATTTTAATGATAGAACGCACTCGCGTGCACGGGATCCACTTCGGGTGTAACAAAATTTCAACATAAATAATTCTGGGTTGGGATGACTTCCGATGAGGATTACCCGCAGAACGTTCCAAGCGATATATCACAAGAAAATTTCGTACCAACGGATTACAGTAATATATGGTTCAGCTGAAAGAGTTGAGGTATGAGTGTTTAATATTAATAGGTCGATATAATGGTTACATTATACCTGGCCATTATGAAGCAGGGATGTCTTGCCTGGCCCATTTTGTCTGCTAGCTGTGCTATGATCTTCCCAGGCATGCGCACTGTACTCGAGTCAGGTTTTCTTACACCCTTCTGGTCTAGTTTATAACGAGGGAGGGTCTAACGAGGGAGATAAGTACGATCCCTCCGACCCCATTTAAATTGGGATGCTTGGCAAGTTTTCTCTGTGAATATTCAACATACGACCTTGAAACTAGCATCAATTTCATGACACACTAATACAAGTATGTCTAATAAATTTCATCAAGATCGCTCAACTCCTTCTTGGTGTGACTTTTTTGGCGAAGAGTATGTTTTTGGAAAGAATCCTCCAAATTAGGCTGGCCTTCTCTCTCATTCCGCCTATCATTCATCTGCCTTCATCCTGTTTTCTCTTTGGCTGGTTAGGGTATATAGCAAAATCGAAAAAGCGCTGGTGAAAAAGTAACTGTATCGGGACTTCAGTTCTTTGGGGAATATGAGGCACATGTCTTGAGGACAGATGGCATGGGGAGTATGGCAAGAGAGGACGAATGTAAGCAAAGGGATGACCAGGACTGGAACCTGAGTTTACTGATTGCCCGTTGGGGGTGCTACCACTACACCACCGAACCCGAGACATTCCGTTTTGCTTCTCACTGTGCCTATCACCACATATACGGTTTTATATTCCAACGAAAAAGGGCACTCTCGCTCTCCGTTCAACGTGGCTACTCCATAGAGTGTACAGTATATAGATGTCTCTTGAGAGGCCTTCGCTACCACGAGAGTTACAAGCGCCTACTCCGTCTTGGGAGTGTCACGCACGTGGACAGGAATCACGTGATGGATTAGGTGCCAGCGTGCGGGCCCCAAGAAGAGAGACCCCGGGCAAGTTGCTTCTTTTGCTATCCCCTTCTCCATGGTTCTGCTATGAACTCCCTCGTGCGACTACAGTCCACTACTCGAGTGTGACTCCAGTAAAATGGCGGCCGCGCCTGGAAGGGTGCAGCGCCTAGCGCCATAGTGGTGGCCCTCCATGTATGCAATCTCTATGGGCTGCTCCAGGTTAAACGTGCGCGCGCACGCCACTTCATTCTTGCCTATACTACGACACACACTTCTTCATATTAAAATTACTACTTCTTTCATATGTATCAGGTGAAATATGGACCAACACAATCTACTCATCAAGAGCTGGCTATCACTCGAACTATTCGATGGGTATTCCCCTTCAGAAGTCTTTCCCGACTGGTTTTAATTATCTATAATGAAAACTAAATTGCCAATCAGATGTAAAGGGCATCGTTGAGATCCAAGAGACAGCGAATGTTGATCCAAGAGAGCAATAAAAAAGTCCTAGTCACTAAACAAGATATAGAATAGGTCGATTCGCATTTCGGACAATGGGCACTCATAATGAGCATTCACATTATATCGTTTTTCTTTGGTATTTACAGCCATTTCCCCATTGGGTACTTTGGTACGTCATTTAGTTTGTGAATATTGCACTGCCTCAACCGCCACCAGCGTGAATTACCCACAGTTTTCAAAATATTGCATTAATGCTTGACAAATATGACAAATATCATACTACACTATGAATATACTTTTTACTCGGAAGGCATGATGTTCTTCTGCTACTCATACACATGCACCAATGGGTCCTAAATTGATCATCATTCTATCGTAGCCGGAGGTGTGATGCAGCCCAAATACGAAGAATGCCGGTTTACGAAGATGGGGAAGGAATACAGAGGTGAAGAGTTCAAGACAGAAACAGGGAAGGAATGTATTTTCTGGTTAGATTTTTTACAAGTCTTTCCGTCAGCAAATTTCATTTTCTCCCACCTACCATTCCAAGATCGCCAGGTCATTAGACAGCCTAAGAAGATACAGGATTTCTTGCAACATTGGATAGTATTAACTTCAGCTTCAAGGACTAAACCCTACTCCAACGCCTGTCGTAATTACGGCTCCAAGGAGCGGCCCTGGTGCTTCGTCTCTCTTGAAAAGCCCACATGGGAGTACTGTGACATCCCGTTCTGCCCTGGTCCAAAAGGTTTGCAATTCTTTCATCATCGTAATTTTTTGACATGCTATTTTATGCACTATATCTGTACCCACCTGTCCAAGTTGTTCCTACCCTCGCATTAACCCTGTGTGTGATAAATGATCATGTAATAGAGATAATGGAGATAATATCCAGTAATTTCGACAAGTTCTCGCTTCAGATGCACAATTGCTGGAAAATAATTAAGTCCTAAATTTAGTGATGTCCTGTTTAGCCTGGAATACTTTTTCGCATATCTAGACACTGAAAAGAAAGGGGAGTGTTTTCTCAAATGTTATTCCTATGTTGCATTGCATCAACGTTTGCTGAAAATTTGTCGTGAATCCTTTTCCCTGCCCTATTCTACCGAACATTTACTTGGAAATCATGTCCATACCTTCCGAAATCTCGAAACATAACATCAGGAAATACTACATCCACACGCATTGCACTGTAAAATGTGTCCCTGAAAATAAAACACCACTAATACATTATACAATTGCTTCAGTTGAAATAATATAATATCATATGATACAAAATCGCTGTGATCATAGTATTCATACCCATCCCTCCATACGCATATTACTTGAATGGATTCCGCGGAAGGATTGCTGATTCAAAGATTTTTCAGTTGTTCATTCATCAAACAGATAAAGGTTACAGCTTTGACTGCTTCCATATAATCAATTTAGTGTTTCGTTGATTCCTTGGCCATATAGAACCAGCGGAATGCAAACGCACGAATGGCGGACGGGAGTACTTGGGGTTGAAGAACGTGACACGGACGGGGAAGAAGTGCCAGCCCTGGCTGAGCCAAACGCCTAATGAACATTCGACAATATGGTACCTGCCGGCATTTCCTGATCCTGGCATGGACAGCCATCACAACTACTGTCGGAATCCGGATTTAAATAAGTTGGGTCCCTGGTGTTACAACGGGGAGGGCACCGATCCTGAATGGGAATATTGCGACATTCAGCTTTGTGAATGAACTGGAAATGGAAATGGAATGATATGAACTGGAAAGGGGACATGGTAGCTGTGAATGTCAGGCTGCTCTATTTTTATGTAGAACCATAGTGTTTCTTGGACGCTATTCTAACCCAGTTTGGCAATTAAGTAGAGATAGACAATATTGTCCATGGATCACCGTTTCTTGAGTGATTTCTCCTCCCAGCAATTGCGGGAATGTTTTCCATGTTCTCTGCTCCACATCAAAAAATGTTTTCCTACGTTTCCAGTCCATTTTCCGGTGATTCTGACATGTTGGCGTTCGTAGGTCTTTCCACAGTAAATTTAGAAGCGTGTCCTTCAGTTAATTTATGGGTGTGCATGCACAGTCCAGAAAGTTTACTGAAAGTTGGCGAACATTTTTCAGTGCATATGTTTTCACAATCATACGTTTTCCTGTGAAACCAAAAATAGTCAATATCGGTTACATTTTATGCCTCACATATTTCATGTACCAGTAGTAAGGAAATAATGATATCATTCAGTGTTGTTATTTTTCATTTGTCTAAATGTAAGATTGATGGTAATTCTGACGTGACGTGGAATTATCAGAATCAGAACCACTAGCCTGTTCGAGGTTTAGAAGATTTGACTCTTGACTTATTTAATATGACAATTTTGTTGTGACAATCAGCATGGAAATAGGCTCATAACAAGAGCCTGGAGATCGGTTTAGAATGAATATGAAATTTTGTTTCCTTCAATGGTCACCAGGTAGCAGAAACCATGAGAATAATACCTGAATAAGAACCCGAGTGGGGGGAGGGTGAGACAAAAACAGGTCACTATAGTCAATGAAGATTTCAATGATTCACGGAATATCCCACGTCTTCTCAGGGGCTTCTGCCTACTATCCTTAATCAGATTTCTTATCCAACGCACTGACTTGGCCGCCGCAACTCACAGGGGGGTTGTTGCTGGCCACCTTCGAGGTGGGATAACCATAGAGATTCACAGAGTTCCACAGAAAATGCATGTCTTCATGATTCTCCCGCGCGGCATTTTCATTTCGTCATGTTGGATGTGCGCATTATCTTTTATTGATTTCAACCTCATTATAAGAAGTATCGGATACAAGATTTCACTATGAGTCTTGTGAATCCCTTCGGTGTGCATCTGCTCCAGTGTGAGATACATTTGCTAATGAGGGTTTCTTTCGACCCCATGTTGTTCTTTGTAGGGCATTCTGCAGTGAAAATGAAAGAAACTACATTTCTTCCAAGAGCAGCAGTTATGTGATCCCTTAATTTCAACAATAATATAAGACAAGATCTTGGTGCACGTGTGATCACCGTCAAACCTTATACAAAACCAGATGATGAATTAAGCTTGGGGTAACTTTTGCACCAACTTGTAGTCCTACTTAGTGCAAGGAATGTGCTTGTGCTCCTGAATATGAACACATTTCATATTTTTCATTGTTATTTTTCTGCACCAAGTGTCTCACTCATTTTCCTTGTATGCTCTTATGGACCATGAAGTTGATGACAGGCTATTTGCATTAGCGGGAAAGTCTTTTCAATTGGGCCTATGAAAAAGTTCCAGGTCCGACGTTTAACCCTTTCAATCCGGGAGGGACTAAGAGTCCCACAATTTCCTGAGCTATGTTTCAGGGTTACACAGGAATGCACTCACTTTGTTATTTTAAACATATGCGCGAAACATTACTCCCACATACTCTATACTCACTAGAATTCGCGCTCTTTCCCAGAATGAGGTGCCCCATTAAAAGCTACTACTACGAAGAAACACGCTCTTTAGTCAACTGCGACCATTGCGTTAAAGGAGGTAACCAAGAATGGGTTACAGCCAGTTTTCCAAGGTCTTTGCAAACATTAAAAGAAGTGTATCGCAAATGAAGATGAAAATGACTAAGGGGATGATATTGAAATCTAACTCTTGTACATAGTTCGCTGATGTGAAAGCCGGTCCCATAAGATTTTTATAGGCCGACGTGTACACGTACCTTTTATACAGTAGATGCATAAGCATTCCCCCCTAGTATGACAGGAAGTTTCTCATTCCTTTGGAGTTATTTTGCTCTCGTCTTGTTGTATGTGATCGCTAAATTCTGAATAGTTTGAATCCCTTTGGTGCTTTAGTGTATCAGGGTGAGACACAATTGAAACTCTGAAATATATTCGGCCCCTTTGGAATCCACATGCGGGATTAAATGCAGGGTGATTGAAAAGCCACTTGCATTTTTTGTGTCGTATATGGAAGCAATCGATTCGTCAGCTTCTCCTGAGCACTTTCATGAAATATGAGAGTGCTCAGGAGAATACGTCTAATACGTTCTTAGGAAGAAACGGCAGAAAAAGAGGTAGAATTAACATAACTTGTATTGGCCATTACTAGGAAATTAGAACGTTAGGATAACAAAATATGTATTATGATGAGACATGTCCGAAGTGACCACCATCTGCTTTTGCAAGGTACATCATTCGCAACAGAAAAGTCGAACCCGCACTGCAAACTTCATCGCGACGTATGTGCAAAACCTTGTATATGGACTATGTTGAGGTACTGTCCAGATATTTGTGAACTGAAAAATAAGAGTTGGTAGAGAAAATGTCCGCCCGAATAATATTTGGAAGTAGGCAGTAGGTGCAGTACATCATCCAAATCACTCTTGCGAGTTATGGGCTTGGACAACCTGTAAGCTGCCCTATTGGCCTCATATAGGACGTTTCAGGGGTGTCCCAGCCTAAGGTGCTGTTATACGGATTTGGTGCACGTGCCAAGCGGGCACCCCCTTCCTCTCTGTGTAGTTCGATAGGTCCGTTGTCTTTTAGGCACGCCGCATGTCCTAAAAAAAATAAAAAATGAAAAAAAATGAAAATCCTGTTTTTGCCCCTGGAGCAACATGGTACAAACTGCCGCTGGATATTACCGATCATCTAATCACATATCATAATTTAATCGACTCTAATATCCCTTCATTACCCTATCACAATAAGTATCTTTCTCGCTATTTGTTTATCATCGAATTATCGAGAGCACGAGGATTTAATGTTATCCACGTACCTTCATGAAACGAAATTTCAATTTGGAATTCATTATGGTATGACTCAATCTGTACAGCGTATTTGGACATGTAATCTCCCGCATGTTCTCCAATTAGGTATTAATAACGCTGACTCTTTCACTGTTACGGCCCATGACGGCCACGTATCTATTATCATGCGCGCTATTTGATTGCCCATTGAGTGTACGTTCGAAAGATTGGGATTCGCATTATTATATCAATGTACCTGTATGAAACCTGATTTTTGAATGGAAAATCATAAGGGAATGAGCCGACCGCGATAACGTGTTGTTCCATCATGTAACTATAAGTAGGTCAAAAGCATTTGTGAGAAAACATGTTTATTGGTACAAGGCTCTTCATTGAGGGCACGATCCCAGAGCAGGGGGAGAGAGAGGACTTATTTTTGGACGTCCTCGCGTTCTTTTACTATCGAATTACGAATATTCACCCAAGAACATAATAAATGGCTATCGAATAGGTAACATCTTGAACTCGTACGAAATGTACGAATTTATTAGGATACATTCATAGAAGTCTTCGTTTTTTTACTTTTGAAGTCTTGACTTCGCATTCACTCATCCATTTTTACTTCCCAAATTTCTTTATAGACCATGCGCAGAGTCAATGCTATATAGGTGCAGCACATGCCTGAGGCATCTCGTCAAGTAAATGAAACGTTAGGCACATCGCACGCCTATTCAATCTCTCATGGCCCTTTTAAGAGAGTATATGTAACGTTGGACCTATTAGAAGTCTATTTCGAATTTCAAGAGCCATATCAGTGCGAATGAGGAACGTTACAGTCCTATCTAGAGTTCCTCGAACCGTCTGGAAGAGTTCTGAGGAGGAAATGTCTCTAGGAAGCATGGATAAGAATGTGGGTGCCATTCTGTTAATTTACTGATCCCCGAAAGATATACATATCCAAGCCACCAAATCGATCGACCACTGCTAACCACCATTTTGATTTAAGCTCACCTAATGAAATTGGCACAAAATTATCTCACATATTGAAAAAAACAGAAGATCCAGACACCGATGTTACGGAAGAAGAAGACATGAATCTGGTATGACTAAGGCATGGTATCAGGTAAAACTGGGGGATGAAACCGGGGCCATCACGCTAAACCTAAATTAAGGGCATCTAAGTTTCTTTTTTTTAATAGCAAACCGGTGCACTGGAAGCAACAAAAATGACACATTTGTCAGCGACAAGTCAATTTCTTTCGTTTGGTTGGTCTCTTTCCGCCAAAAACTTCCAAGGAGTGGCTACCTAGGGGCGGAAATAGCGAAAGAAATTCAGAACGAAAAGCAAGATCCAGAGATCTCCAAAACCCCGGGGAGACGAGCTTCCAATTTGCTGGAGCATTTCTTTGCTGGAAGAGAAATATGTATGATACATTTCGTTCCTGTGGATATTCTCACAGAAGAATACGAGACAGGTATAATTTTGTCGCCTGAAACAGCAGTGGCTCACAAAGCCACCAGCAAATTCACACCTAATTGAAGATCCCATCACTGAAACCCCAGGCATGGACCTCCCCAGAAGGGAGTGGGTCTCCATCAACCGCTTCAGGACCCTACAGGGAAGGTGCGCGGGACTCCTCCACAAGTGGGGATACACCGAATCCCCCCTCTGCACCTGCGGCGAAGTGCAGACAATGAAACACATCGCAGAAGAGTGCCCAGACCTCGCCTTCCCAGGAGGACTATCAGAGATCCACCAAGCCTCCCCAGAAGCCTTGCAATGGCTCAGAGACTTGCCCATCACGTTGTGACTGTGTTTCTGCTACCGCCGCCCCTTATGATACATTGGCTGGAATAAAGTCACATTTATCCTCCTCCTCGGCCTCAATCTGCAATTTGACAGAATTGAACAACTAAACCTCATAGATTTCTCATCTATGAGGTTTCAACCCGTCTCAACCCGGAGAAGTATA